TCATAGAAGGCTGGGAGGAGGCTGTCATAGAAGGCTGAGAAGAGGCTGTCATAGAGGCTGAGAGGAGGCTGTGAGTCTTGGCCAGTGAGAGGCACAGCAGCTCCAGCCAGCTCTCAACTGAGTAGCCCTTGACTGAGCCCAAGTCAAGAAGCAGAGTCCCCAGGAAGCAGAGGAGTGCACAGTCACAGGGACAGAGGCCTCAAGCGGGAGAGAGGGAGGGAGGGAAGGCAGGATGTCTTTTCCCCTGCTGAGATMCAGGAGTAGCTTCCTGTGAAAGCCTTGGGGACAGAAGTTGGGGACGCTGTCTRATGAAGAAATAAGGGGCAAAGAGAAGACCAGAGGAGCCACTTCCCRTGACTCCCTCCTGCCTCCCTGGCCTCAGGACAGTGGGGATGCAGGCCTCAAACTCGGAGGCAAAGACTTCTGAACTCTCACCTGGTCACATGCTCCTGCCYGGGGAACTGTCCGTCTGTTTCCTAATAGCCTGACCCGTGTCCCTTCACCCTACAGAGGCCATCAGAGGGCACAGGGCGTGGCAGGGCAGGACCACCCCTCAGCCAGGACCCCTTTTGGACCCAGCTGTCCAGAAACGTGGCCCCCTCTTCCCTGGCCCGATGTTCCCAGAGAGGCCACACAGCTGGGCTTTTGTGTGAGGCCTCCTAACCCCCAGTGCAGCCTGTTTCTGCTGTTGCTATTTCCAACCCTGTGCAGGCCGGTCCCGTCACGTCTGGCAAGGCCAATGTGGATTTCCCATTTCACCAATTTTTCCCAGAGAAACACAACATCTTCTGTGATAGCCAAAGAACCTCAGRGGTCTATCTCCCCTGTACACCCCCCTATGCTGCCTACCTAGACACCTCTCTCTATGGGTCAGTCCACACAAGTGATAGCATGACTATTTTCTTTTCAAACCTTATGATTTTTTTTTTGGGGGGGGGCAAGGATTGAACCCAGGGGCACTCCACCACTGAGCCCCATCCCCAGCCCTATTTTGTATTTTACTTAGAGACAGGGTCTCACTGAGTTGCTTAGCACCTCTCTTTTGCTGAGGCTGGCTTTGAACTGGAGATCCTCCTGCCTCAGCCTTCGGAGCTGCTGGGATTATAGGCGTGGGCCACCCTGCCTTGTAAACCTTATGATTTCTTTTTAATGCTTATATACTTAGTTTGGTACTGGGGATTAGATTCTGGGGTGCTTTACTGCTAGACTACACATCCGGAASCTTTGTCTTAAATTTTTTTTTTTTTTAACTGGGAATTGAATTCAGGGGCATTTAACTATTAAGCCCAGCCCTATTTTGTATTTTATTTAGAGACAGAGTCTCACTGAGCTGCTTAGGGCCTCACTTGAGTTGCTGAGGCTGGCTTTGAACTTGGGATCCTCCTGCCTCAGCCTCCTGAGCCACTGGGAWKACAGGTGTGCACCACTGCACCCAGCCCTTCTTAATTTTTATTTACTTTTTAAAATGTAAGCCTGGGTCTCACTATGCTGCTAAGGATCTTCTTGCAGTCCCTGTCACAACTCATCATCTCATCCAGCGGAGTCCGCAGCAGGAGGAGTTGAGGGAAAGGAGACCCGGCGGCAGACCTCCCCGGTTTGCACCCAGGACCCACCCGAGAGCATGAGGGTTCTCAGGGCAGAGCTGGGAGGTGGGTCCCGCCCCTTCCCTCAGCTGCTCCCAGGCCAGGCTGACCTGGAGGCGCCCCCCGTGTCCCGGGGACCGTACCTCTGACCACTCGCCCGTGATCCACACGTACTCGCAGGGCTGCAGGCTGCAGCTCTCGCGCTCGGCTGGCCGCTGGCCCGGGGCGCAGTGCGCGCTGTGCACCTCCGCTTCGCGGGCGTCCACGCACAGCACCCGGCGGAACCGCGAGCCCTCGCCGCAGGTCTTGGTGCACTGCAAGGACACAGCGGTGGGAGAGAAGGTGAGGCCYGTCCTCCGATGTCCCCGGCTGCCTTCGGTTACCTGGCCACCTGGTTCTGAGCTCCTAAGGCTGAGGCCCGGTCTTCTGAGAAGTCCCGGTTCAGCTCCGTTGCCCACTGATTGATCGGGCTATTTTACTTATTTATTTTTTTGTAGTTGGAGATGGACACGATACTTTTTTATTTAATATTTATTTATTCATTTCTATTCATTTTTGATGGTTTCCTTTGCTGTAAAGAAGCTTTTTAGTTTGATTCCTGATTTTACTTCCTGTCTTGTTAAGGAAGTTGGTTCCAAAGTCAACATGGTGGAGAACTGGGCCTATTTTGGGCCTACACATTCATGTTTATAGCAGCTCAATCCACAATAGGCAAGCTATGGAACCAACCTAGACGCCCTATGGACAGATGAGTGGATACAGAAACTGTGGTGCTTATACACAATGGAATATTACTCAGCCTTAAAGAAGAATGAAATTATGGCATTTGCTGGTAAATGGATGGAACAGGAGACTACCATGCTAACTGAAAAAAAGCCAATCCCCAAAAATTAAAGACTGAATATTCTCTCTGCTGTGCACATGCTAACACACCACAAGGGAAGGTGGGTAGGGAAGAATAGAATTTCATTGGGAAATGAAGGGAAGGGAGGGGGATGGGAATGGGAAAGACAGTGGAGTGAATGGGACAGAACTTTCCTRTGTTCATATATGAACACACGACCAGGGAAACTCCACATCATGTCCAACCACAAGAATGGCAAGTTAGACTCCATATATGTATAATATGTCTAAATTCAATCTATTCTCAGGTATATCTAAAAAGGACAAATAAGAAAAAAACCCTGAGATCCTGAAGCAGGATGTCAGAGCTCTCCATTTTTTTACCCTCGGCTCCCCAGGGCACCTGATGAGCCTGACGAGGAAAGGAAAGTCGAAGGAGTGACTCTCAGTCTTGGAAAGGCCCTCAGGCCTGAAAACTCAACACCGACCCAAATGCAGACTCGCCTTTAAAACCAGAGCCCCAGGGTCACCCAGCTTCCACCTGAATACCTCTGGTGCCAGGAACGTGGTGATGGGTGCTGATTCCAGCCCTTGCCCTATCTCCTATCCCGGGGACCACGAATGACAAGTCCCACCTCTCCCCAGGAAGCCCCACAGACGTGGAAATGTGCTGTCCTGGCCACAGCCTGTCCTACCCCAGGGTGGACGGATCACACCCCCAATCACCCACACACTCCAAGTCTCCACCAACCGCCAGGCCCAGGGCAGGTCCTGGTGGGGCAGAGTGGACGACAACAGGGAGTTCCAGGGTCTCAGGGAGGCGCTCCTGTTTAAGCACTAAGGATAATAGCAAGAAASTGAGATTTAGGGTTTTCTTTCTATAATTTCCACATTTCAGATAAAGGAACTGGGATTTAAAAAAAAAAAAAACAGGAATTGAATTCAGGGGCACTCAACCACTGAGCCACATCCCCAGCCCTATTTTATATTTTATTTAGAGACAGAGTCTCACTGAGTTGCTTAGGGCCTTGCTAAGTTGCTGAGGCTGGCTTTGAACTTTCCATCCTCCTGCCTCAGCCTCCAGAGCCCTGGTATTACAGGCGTGCACCACTGTGCCTGGCAAGAAACTGGGATTTTAAGAGCCTTAAGTAACTCATCCCTGGTCATACATGTTTGCTCCTGTCAGTCAAGACTGGAAAAGAAAGCTAAGGATATATTTTGTTCTAGAATGATCTCTGTGTTGTCCACAAAGTTCTTATCTTTTTTGCTCCAACCAACAGCAAACTCCACCTTAGAAGTCTCATCTTGGTGATGTGTTGCTAAGGTCACCAAAACCTGTTCTTTCTAAAGAGTCCCTCCCTGTCTCTCTCTTTAAGACTCCAGATGACTTTGGGAGCTGATGGACACATGTGCTGAGCCCAGCGTCCATTTCCTTAACCCCAGKGATAATCCTGTTGCCCTGGGTTATCGAACAGTCAGTGAATTCTCTAATTTAGGAGTCCAAGGAGAGCCTCAGATCTCACCTCTCACAGACAGACTTTCCCCCAAGGCATTTGAGATCCAACCTCACTCAGAGAGGTCTTTCCTAATCTGCCCAATGGACATTTTTGAGTAATGTTACTATGAACATTCAGACTGTTTACAGACTGGTAAACCCAGCTTCAAATCTTATTTTTTATTTATTTTTTTGGTACCAGGGATTAAACTCAGGGGCACAACCACTGAGCCATGCCCCCAGCCCTATCTTATTATTATTATTATTATTTTAGAGACAGGGTCTCACTGAGTCACTTAGGGCCTCGATAAATTGCTGAGGCTGGGTTTGAATGATCCTCCTGCCTCAGCCTCCTGAGCAGCTGGGATTACAGGTGTGTGCCACTGCGCCTGGCCTGATTTCAGATCTTTAGGGTAGACTTCTAAGAAGGGAATGGCTGTCGATCCTTTAGGAATGACCTTGTTCCTTTAGGGAGCAGAAGCCATCTCCTGCTATGTGCTGTTAGCTTCTCATTATTCTCKAACTTAAAATTGCTTGCTTGGAAGCAAAAATCTCAGAGTCTGGAATGCGGACCCTCATCCATTTCCCAGAGAACAAATCTGACTTAAAACCCCTTTGAGGAGAGCTGGGGGAGCAGACATCATGTCAAGGAAGGGCCTGCTTCCCCGGCTCACCCCTGCCTCAGTGATTCTAGGGGTTCCGTTTTCCTGAACTAAGCTGAAAGCTACTGCAAAGGGATAATGTTTTTGTTTTTTTCATTAGTCAGCCAGGTACAGGGGTGCATGACTGTGATCCCAGCGGCTCTCGAGGCTGAGGATGGAGGATTGCAAGTTCGAGGCCAGCCTCACCAACCTAGCGAGGCCCTCAGCAATTCAGCCAGACCCTGTCTCAAAATAAAACATAAAAGGGGCTGGGGATAGGGCTCCGTGGTTAAGCACCCCTGGGTTCCATCCCTGGTACCAGAAAAACAAAAAAACAAACCAAAAAGTGTGCAGATAGCTGCAAAAGAAATTTGTAGCTACGTGTGCAAAAAGTAATGCCTTAAAAAGCAAAGACTTGGGTGACTCAGAGAAGATGGTGATCAGTGAGCAGCCGACCTGGACTACACGTTCCAGGCCTCCGGCTCCTTTTCCTTAACCCCCAAGGCTCATCTTGGTGTCAATCAGTAACAGCTCAGAGCAGCAGCACCCAGACTCCTGAATGCTCTCTGCCTGCTACGTGCCTGTCCCTGCATCTTGAGGAACAGCTGGTTAACTACCAGGAGAGCTATTTGACCACGAGTAGAGAAGTGAGCTGGGAAAACCTCTCCCTTTTCAGAAAATTAAAAATTAAGCCAGGTAAATCAGTGACTGGCCCGTGCCTTGGAACTGGTCAACAGCAGCTCTGAGAGTCACGTGAGGAGGGTTTTGTCCTGGAATCTTTAATCCTAATGAGACGGTGGGGGCTGGGTAACCAGAAAACCAGTCCTGCCGTGAGACTGGGGGTTCAGCAGCGTCTGCTGAGACTCCTCCCCATCCTGTCCTGGAATATGATCTAGAATGTTCTAGAAAGCACCCAGGAAGTTCAAGGAGTCTTATTTTCATGTCCAAAAGGCTTTCTCTGATTCCATTATAGCTTTTAGAGGAAAACCTCCAATAAATGCATAAGAAACACCTGCAGCCTCCGTGAATTCCAGCGCACTGTGTAATTCAGGAGGAGAATAATCACAGGGCTGGACTCAGTGGGGTAGGTTGCTGGGGGTGCTTCGGGCTGCATGTGCCTTTAAATGTGCTAAAATTAACAGGGGGAAATAGCTTTCCAAATTGGAGGTTGAGGAAGCCCTAAAATAAACTCTTTAAGGTACTGTTTTGCTCAGCCAGGTAGGAAGGCCATGGGGTGCCTGTCTAAACAGGATCATTTAATGCGACAGGTGGAAATTGTCTGTCCTTAATGATTGTAATCAGGTTGCTTTATACTTTCAAATATACTTTTTGGTGCAGTTCCCTCACCATAGGGGGAGACCAGTCACGTGCTATTCACAGGCTCTGCCTTTTGAGATTGTTGATTCTCTCCAAGGAGGGAAGACTCTGCACTTCTAGAGTCACAATGCCTGCAGAGCATACAGAGGAGAATCACAGACTGCGGTTGGAACCCAGGGTTCCTCGTGTGACCTTAAGGGGTTTTTTTGGGGGAGGTACCAGGGATTGAACTCAGGGGCACTGAACCACTGAGCCCCATCCCCAGCCCTATTTTGTATTAGAGACAGGGTCTCACTGAGTTGCTTAGGGCCTCACTTTTGCTGAGGCTGGCTTTGAACTCATGATCCTCTTGCCTCAGCCTCCCGAGCCGCTGAGAGTACAGGTGTGTAGCACCAYGCCCAGCAAAGACTTTAAATTTTTATATTATGAGATGCAATGATGGAAAATCCCCCACCCCACAGTAAACTGTTTTTAAATCACCAAGGGCTTCTATTCTTAAGCTCATTTTAAAGTCAGGGTCTCACTGAATGGCTTAGGGCCTCCCTGAGTGGCTGAGGCTGGCTTTGAGTTCTCGATCCTCCTGCCTCAGCYTCCCCTGGGATTACAGGCATGCATCTCCGTGCCCAGAAAATTTGGACATTTCTGTCCCCTGATTAACAGACTTCTAAGGAAAAAAGGAGGCAGAAATGTTACCACGGAGACATTTTACAACTTTGACGTCACTCAGTCAGCAGGCCTGGTTCTGGGCTGGGGACCGACACACAGCCCGGACAGCTCCGTACCCAGCTTCCCTCCCTACTGTGCCACGCAAGGCTGCAACTACTCTCAGCTCGGGGTCCTGAGTGTCACTCAGTCGGCTCACTGATGGTCACCGGGCTTAGCACCTAGGGCCACCTGTACAGCTCTGCGAGCAGACGTGGGTTCCTCACAGAATATACTTGAGTATATCTCAGGGAAAGAAGAGGAGGCCAAGGGCATCTCCAAATGCTAAAGGGGGGCCCTGCTCACTCAGTCGGGGTTCTTGGATGGCATGATTTGAGGACTGGGATTTTAAACGCCTTCCTAAAGCACAGTACGTGGAGCTTTGCAAGTGGCCATACGGATTTATCAAATTAAGTACTGAATGATAGGAGCCCTGTGTCCACATCCCACCCTGGTCCCACCCCACTGTGACCATCGTGAAGATCACTAAGACCTCCTGCTCGTCCTCAGAGTCCAGATCTGCGTGAGCAAAACCACGTTCCTCTGCTGGGCCCAGGAGCAGGTGGGCAGAGCTGCAGAGGTCTTGCTTATCAGGGCAGATGCCTTTCTGACAAGGAAAGGGGGTCACGTGCTGAAACAAGACATCTCACCAACGTACAGGTGAGTTTACGACCTCAGAGAGGAGGAGCAGAAAGCACAAGATACTCGCCACATGTCAACAAGATGTATAAGGTGTTTGCCAAGAACCGCTAAGAGAGAGAGGGTCCTGTCCAGKGAACTCCAGCTGTCCCACTCTGGAGGCCCGGATGTTGCTCTGGGCTTTCTCGCCAGATCAGGTCAAGGGTCATTAGGGAGGAAAGTCAAAACATGTGCCTGAGTGAGAGGGTCCAGGAGAACAAGACAGAGCGGGGGGTGGGGGTGGGAGTGGCTGTGTTCCAGGGGCCAGGAGGGGGCTGCATGGGGAAGCAACCACCCTCCTTACTGTTTAACCAGGACACCTGTGACCACAGAGGTAGGAACAATCAAGGATCCCATCAGGTGGCCCCAGGCAAACAGGTCGGACGTGCAAAGGGTCACACCGCTCCTGATCTGGGCTCCTGATCTGGTCGGCTCAGGTTCTCAGGCACCTGGACACTCCCTCTCCACTGTGCTGCCCTGGGGACATTCTGAGAAGGCCACCAACAACCTTGTACCTGGGGACATAAAGGTCCGGATGGATTTCTCAAGCTTCCAGCTGCCCTGAGCGTCACTTTGCCACAGTGCACTAGCCACCCGTGACCCCAGGTCCTCCTCCAAACTCTCAARCTCGGGGGCAGGCAAAGGAGAAAGCACAGGGGGCAGGAGGGAGACTCTCGGACCTGCCTGCCATCGTTAATGGGGTCTCTCTGGTTAATCTCTGGAAACATCTTAAACACAGGTCCCAGCCAGACTGGGTCCTTAGGTCTTCTTCTGTTTTTTGGTACCAGGGATTGAACCCAGGGGCGCTTAACCAGAGCCCCATCCCCAGCCCTTTTTATATTTTATTTAGAGACGGTCTCACTGAGTTGTTTAGGGCCTCCCTAAGTTGCTGAGGCTGGCTTTGAATTCACATCCTCCTGCCTCAGCCTCCCACCTCAGCCTCTGAGCCACTGGGATGACGGACGTGAGCCACTGCGCCCGGCAGGTCTTCTTACTCAGAGATTGAAAGCAATACCTGAGGATAGATTTTCAAAGATCCATCTGCATAGTGTATGTGAAGACATAAACTTCCAGGTTTACTTTGTATGACAGGAAAAGAGGAATTTCATCAGTGCTTCTGGGGCAAGGTCCCCTCTCCACCTTTTTTGTTTTTTGTTTTTTTTTTTTTTGAGATTTAGAAGGAGTCTCAAGGGAGCTTGGGGTGGGGTTTGGTGATTGGTTCTAGCAGGTTCAGAAACTGGCTGAAGCCTGAACAGTCCCCTTTGGTCCATTTCTAAATGCTCTCTTACTTCTACTCCCTGGAGCAGTCACACAGAGCAGAGTTGGCRTGAGATGGAGAGGGACAGGGCAGAAGCAGCCAATAAACAAGAACTGCACGGAGAAGAAGCCKGGTGTGGTGGTGCACGCCTGTCACCCCAGCAGTGGRGGCTGAGGCAGGAGGATCACAAGTTCAAAGCCAGCYTCAGCAACTTAGCGAGGCCCTAAGCAACTCAGGGAGACCCTGTCTCTAAATAAAAAAATAAAAAAAATGTCTGGGAATGTGGCTCAGTGGCTAAGTACCCCTGGGTTCAATCCCTGGTACCAAAAAAAGAAAAAGACAATTGCAAGAGAATTAAGAGGTATTATTAAGGCAGGGGGACAAAGGAGCCTCCAGTTTCTTCTGCATTGGACATGCCAATTCCCAAACCATAACTGATGCTTCTCTCCATCTTTCTCAGAATAGCTCTGCATAGTTCCTGTTATCCCCACCCTGCAGACGGTGAAGCCAAGACTCAGAGAAATCTAGAATCCCTGCTCTGAGTCTCGTGGCTGGCAGGCAGCAGAGCTGGGGTAGGAACCAGGTCTGTGTTCTAAGTCTCCGGGTTCCCAGTAACGTACAGGGCTCCCGTGCAACGAACCGGAACTGTATCTGATGTAGGCACTGCTGCCCGCTACCCTCTGATGGACGCAGACCTGCCTCATGGGCTGGGGATGTGGCTCAGTGGTTGAGTACTCCTGAGTTCAATTCCTGTTAACCCCCCCCCAAAAAAAAGGAATGCAGGTGGACATCTCATCATAGTTAAGAAAACAAACTTAAGATCCCAACTTTTGTTTCTTCCCGGTGATTAGTATGTGACACGGACTCTCAGAACCTCAGTTTTCTCATCTATAAAATGGGCTGATAACAATATACATCTAATCTAGTGGTTGGAAAGATTGAGTGAGGTGACATGAACACAAAGCACCCACCTCACTACCAAGTATAGTGTCTKTGCTCCCCAAATTGTAACCCTTTCTGTACATTCCCAGAGCGATTCTGGGTCCGGGGGACTCCCGACCTATCTTTGAGCTTTAAACAGCTTGCAATTTTATTTAYTGCAACATCAGAGGAGGTGGTCTTGCTTTTCATTTTCTTTCCCCCCTTTGTGCAATCAGAACACACACACATACTATGCTCTGGAAACTGAGGTCACCTCTTATTAATGTCTTACCTTCCCAGACAGACTTTTCTCCAGGGACACTTAGTGTTTTCTTTAGCTAAACATTAACTGGGGATGGGGCGGGGGGAGTAAGTCCGGCTTATTTCTGCACCCATGGAAGAGTTTTGGATGCTATCCTTCTTTCACAATCACTGGAAATCCTTCACTAGTGAATCCCAGTTTCACAGGAGCACCCATCTTCTACCTGACAGCCCAAGTCATGCAAAAGGGGGAAAAGTACACAGCACGTCCTACCTACAGTCTGCCTTCTGGCTGGCGGCTATTGCAAGAATACAGAATGGCCCAATCTGGACCTGCAGAGTTAACATGTCCCTCCCGCCTGCCCCTCCTGTGAGCCTTATCTTTAGGCATTTGGCTCAAGGCCTGGAGAACTTGTCTGGCACAGTCAGACCCAGGACGTTGGGGACACACGGAGCCTGGGGAGGAGCAGCTTCTGCAGGGCGCTCCCCACCCCGCCGTGGGAATGCTGCAGACTTGACAGCCCGCCTTTGGGAAAGGGCCAGCCACCACCCACCCTGCTGCAGGGCGCCGGGCTTCYCAAGGTGGAGGTGACGCCGGCCAGGGGCGGGGCAAGCGACAGGTGTCCCCACTCACCTCCTGCCACTGCTCGGCCCTCCAGGCGAAGCGCGGGCAAGGCGGGCTCTCGCAGGCGCGCTCCGACGCGGGTCTGGCGAAGGGGTCGCACTGGGTGTCGCGCGCTGGTCTGTGCGTCCCGATCTGACAGCTCACGCGCCTATGCTGCACGCCGCGGCCACAGGACGCCGAGCACTGGGAAGACAGAGGACGGTAAGTGGCCGCTTTGGCTCATTTTTTGGTGGGGGAAGGTGAGGAGGCCGGCGGTGCCCTCCTAACCCAGTGACCTTCACTGCTAGCGCGACAATGGGACCCACGGGCACTTGGGAACTCAGCCGCTGGAGGGGCTGGGGGTTTGGGAAGAGCCACCCGAGTGTCAGGGGGTCTCTGAGTTAGCAAAGCCCCCCGAGGGGGATTGGAGCGCTGGGAAGAGTGGGGTGGAGCAGTCAGCCCCCCAGAGGACAAGGCTGTCACAGGGAATGACAAGTCAGGATGATGTCTATCCTGGAGGGTCTGAGGTTCTTGAAAATCAGGAAGAATTCACAAGAAATCGAAACTCTACAATTCAAATCCAAACTTACAATTGGTCTAAGAAGAATTTCTTGGCAGATTCAAGTCAAAACCCAAGGAGAGTAAACCCCGGACCATTTTAGGGCCATATAAGCAGAATTATTTCCTCTAGTCTCTTCCTTTTCTGGCTCCTATTTTTGGAAACAGTTTTTTTTTTTTTAAACCATGGAATTCACTAAAGTATTTGTGTCTATTTACAACCTCAGATAAATGTATGAAGAATAAAAGCTGACAAGAAAAAAAATCACTTCCTCGAGCTTAATGTGCTCTGCTGTTGAAAAATAACTGTTAATCACGCAGAAACATTTTTGTTTGACCAAGTTGCAAAACACCATATTAAATCTGCAATTAACTTTCCTCTAAATTAATTTTTTAATGGCTTCCTCATTGCTGGGTTTCATAATCTCACTTATGGTCAGGCCCAAGAATGATGGTCTTTATTAAGGTTTTGACAGGAACGAAAGGCAACCTTTGATTGGAAGGAGCTGCATCTTACTGCTTAGAGCAATTACAAATGATGACCCAGTTTTTGTGACCCATTAATTTGCTGGGGTTGAGACAAGGAGTTTGATATACATGAAAGCTACACGGCTAACAGAAGTCTCCCTAAAGAACAGGATCTTGCTCTTTTAACCTAGAAAGACGGTCTGGTTCAATTAACCCTCAGCAGTCTCTGCTGTCTCTGGGCTAATGACCTTCCTCTGTGCACAACCCAACGGGTTCTGCTGGATCTTAAGTTCCCCCCTATTTCAGATTTTAAGAAAACAGGTGACACTCTTTAGAAGGCGGTGGGGACGTCGTATTGTTTCAGCTGAGTCTCTGCTCGGGAGGCAGGGTTCACATCAAAGCTAGCGAAGGAGAAGGAAATAGGTTGGATCCACGTTGCTGTATTATTTGGGCTTAATTGTATTAATTAAGTGAGTTTAATTAAGTTAATTGTATTAATGGAACTGAGTTTGTGACCCGCAAGGAGCCAGACTTTTGAAGTCATTATGTCCTGGGTGAGAGGGGAGGTTCCTGGATGCCAGGGACAGCTCTGTCTCCAGGGAATGGCCCTTKAATGCTCATGGGAGGGACAGGAATAATATTTCTCAATGATTACTCCATGAAAGAAAATGAGCTGAGGCACAGCAAAGCTACCCAAGTGACAGAATTGTTCAAACAACAATGCCACCAACCATTAACAGCGAGAACCAAGAAGCCCTTTGGCTATTCATTCACAAACTCATAAATATTTGAATCACCTAAAGGAAAATAAAATGAAAAAGAGCTGAAGACTTTTAGAGTGTATAATACTATGTTGGCTATTCAGTAAATGGAACCTCTTTTTGATGCTCTGGTTATTGAATAGTTAAATTATGGTTAATGGAGGGAAGGTGTAAAGGGTCATAATGATCTAAAAATTTTTTWAAAATCACTACTTAAATTGTTTGATCGTTTTTCAAAAGACAATTGAAGACACACACACACATACACAAAAGAATTCAATTATGCAATGTGTTGTTCGGGGCTTCTGATCTGCATACTATCAAAACCAGCTCTGAAATAACCCATTCAGAAGTTTCAGCCCCCCTGAAATGGTACAGCAAACTACAGGGCCTGCCTTTCTGAATCCTGCTTTTATGCTCATTGCTCAAACATCCTGCTAGTTCATCTTTGGTATTGGATCTTTCTTCCTGGGCTGTCTCAAGGGACATAACAATTTGCATACAGAGCTGGCCAGTCTTGGTTGGTGAATTCTAAGAGATCTGTGCAGAAACTCCATGAATAAAACAGCTTCGGAAAGACCTCTGTGTGACCCTGGAGGTGGTGGCCAGGGGTGTGCTCATGTGTATTTAATTTTGCTAACTCCACTAAGTGTACCTCTGAGTTACTTTGAGTGGCCTTGGTTAATGTGTTCCCCACGGCCACCTCTGCAGCTGCTGCCAACATCATCCGAGCACAGCGGACTGCGCAGGGTTGAGAGAGGTTGTCAGTGCTGATCTACGGAGCAGGGAGCTGCTGGAACCCAGAATCCACCAACTCAGAGCGGGAACTTGGTGCTTATCTATGTAGATAGGAAGAATCTCTGCGGAACTTCTGGCATTTGGGGAATCATAACACATATGTGAAAACCTGGAGAGAATTTTTACACACTTTCTTCTAGCATTACCGCTAAAATTATGGAGAGGGGACTTTATTTTAGAGTAGGAATTAGATAGAAAGATAACTATATCAAACCACTTTTCTGAATAATAACAACAATACTAGCAGACTTTTACCAAGCCCTTAATAGATATCAGACTCTATGAAGGGTCTTCAAGCTAACGATTCMTTTTTGTGGGGGCTGCATGTGCACTGTGGGGCATTGAGCAGGATCCTTGGTTTGTCCCCACTAGGTACCAATTACACTTTCCCTCACCCCGAGCTGTGACAACCCAAGCTGTCTCCAGACATTGCCAAATGTCCCATGGGGTATAAAATTACCCCCAGTTGAGGGCTTAGTTCTATGCTCAGCATTTTCCATGAAACATCTTTTTTATTTCCTAACGAACCTTTAAATGTAGGTATTCCACAAATAAGTAAAGAACAGAGATAATCACCTTAGCTCCAACAAAATCAAAAAGGAAAAAATGAATCCAAATAAACCTTGTCCAGGGCAATGCAGCATAGATACTGTGGGTTGGAACTGACTCCAGTTTTAAACTACGGCAATCATGGTGTTTTCTTGTACTCTCTCAGCAAGAGTGTTGGTGAGGAGTGCAAACAAAACCCAGGCAAATGGAGAGCAGAAATCATGAAAGCAACTTTGTTCTCATCCTGGCCATATGCATAAGGTTTCCTTAACCTCTCAGAGGACACAAAGTCAACATATACTCGTTTCTCCATTACTCACTGAGGCACGTGTCACTCTCAGACACCACCACCTAGTGGCTTGCATTGAAATTACAAGAAAAGTCATAACTCAGAAGAGCTGCTATTTCAACTTTAATACTGAAGATCTTTAAAATCTGGATCCTTATTTCACTACATCGAAGACACCATGGACTACAAACATATCCTTGCATTTTTGAATAAATAAGAAAGAAACCCGGGCTGTTAATTAAATCACAGCATTCCACCGTGTGTTGGGCCCATGCTAACTGCAAAGGTGTTGAATCATGATAGAGACCTACATCTCAGGATTGACGCATGAACTGATTGAAAGAATCATGACTAATGAATGGTGAAGTACACTCTCATTCCAAACCAATCATTGATTTTTATTTTCAGCTTCATTTTAAGTAAAACAAAACAAAACAAGCAAAAAAAAAAAAAAAAAACCAAGCTAACCAACCAGCCAAACAAAAAATCCTTTATATAGGAACAGGAATAAGTTTTAAAATTCTGCCCTGAACTGTTTTTTAAAAATGAGAATACAGAGCCTTCAAATTTATCAAGCTGAATCAAAAAGCCGATGGTGATGTTTGTTTTAAAATTTTATGGGTWGCTGGGCACAGTGGTGTATGCCTATAATCCCAGTGGCTTGGGAGGCTGAGGCAGGAGGATTGAGAGTTCAAGCCAGCCYCAGCAACAGTGAGGCACTAAGCAACTTAGTGAGACCCTGTCTCTAAATAAAATACAAAATAGGGCTGGGGTCGAGTGCCCCTGGGTTTAATCCCCAGTACCAAAACAATAAAAACTAAAACTGAACATGAATTTTCAGTAATGGTGGTGGGGAGCCCCTTGAAGTCTTCAGTGATAATGTTTTTTTTTTTAAACAAAAACAAACAAACAAACAAAAACCAACCCAGCTTATTCCCTTCAAAACTTCAAGATTTCTAAAAAGACATTGAAACAAAACATTCCACTTCAAATCACAAAACACCAAATTTTGAGGAGAGACTATTAAGAGTAACATGGCTATAGGAGTCTCCCATCCAATATCTGTCTGCCTTATTATCATCCAGTATTTTTGACACCATGAAAAATTTCACTAATTATTCTTGCTACCTTGAAGACAGGAAGACTGAAACATAGCTACTAGCAAAAGAGTAGGAAGACCAGATATAAAATCTCCTAAAATATCCTTGCCAATGGGCCATAATCACTCTTGCCTAACAGTCCTGCCTTGGGGACGCTGCTGTTTCCTGCTGATCTCTAGGGAGCCAACAATCTCTGATCACGTGTGGATGAGTTTCAGGCACGCTTCTAAATTGCACAAAGCACACCTTCCCAGGCTGCACCCTGTCTGCCCAGCTTTTATAACGCATTTCTACAAATCAAATCAGGACATTATCAAGCTGGYCACAGACCGTTACATAACTGGGTCTGCTTGCCTCTCCTTTAAAGGTGGCAACTGGTTTGAACAATCAGTGTGGTTTGTTTGGGAAGGCATTCTGATAATCCCATTACCTTATGTTTACAAAAATTWAAAAAAAAATTAAAAAGCCAGGTGCGGTGGCACATGCCTGTCATCCCAGCAGCTCAGGAGGCTGAGAAAGGAGGATCCTGAGTTCCAAGCCAGCCTCGGCAAAAGTAAGGTGCTAAGCAACTCAGTGAGACCCTCCTGTCTCTAACTAAAATACAAAATAGGGCTGGGGATGGGCTCAGTGGTCCATGCTCCTGAGTTCAATGCCCAGAACCCATTCCCCAAACCCCCCAGAGTTAAACCTAATCATCCCAATTTTGTAGGCTTCCCCCATAAGATCATGGGATACTGAGTAAACTCCCTGTGTTTACCAATAAGGAACAAGAGAGTCTTTTAATCATCTCTTTAGTGAGTAAACTGGCCTTTAAAATGAGCATTGCATCGTTTATGTGCTCTGAGCTGAATATTCAGGGAGAAATGTAGAATAGATAAATAGAGGCCAAGGGACATTAAGAAGAGCAAGAGTGTAAAGTTTACAAGAAGCCAAGCTAATTAGTGTGGCATCTTAATCACGCTGGCTGCAGGCTTCAGATGAACCAGAGAGCTCCCCAAATAAGGAGGACGGGCAATTAGCAGATGACAGTGGTCATTAGAAACCATGAGAAGGCGAGCAGTAGGACACAATGCTTGAATGGATTCCTTAAGGAACCATCTCTACCTGGGCACAGACTCTTTGTTGAATTAAAAACAGACAGCAGCTCCATGTTTCCTGATGATGAAGGGCTTGGGAGGGATGAGGTTACTGTGCCGGGATGGTGTCCTGTATGTCACACTTCTGTGATACRAAATGTGTCTGGGGGTAGGGAGGAMAAAGCTTCCAGCAGCTCTAGACATTTAAGAAAAATCTGGGCTGGGTGCTGTGGTGCACACCTGTCATCCCAGCAGCTCAGGAGGCTGAGGCAGGAGGATCTCAAGTTCAAAGCCTGCCTCAGCAACAGTGAGGCCCTAAGCACCTCAGTGAGACCCTGTCTCTAAATAAAATATAAAAAGGCCTGGGGATGTGGCTCAGTGGTTAAGGGCCCCTGGGTTCAATCCCTGGTGAAGGAAGGAAGGAAGGAAGGAAGGAAGGAAGGAAGGAAGGAAGGAAGGAAGAAAGGAAGGAAGGAGGGAAGGAAGGAGAGAACCTCCAAGATAAATTCAAACGCACTCAGCCTCCATGGGACCTGAATCAGTGGTTTTCTAAGTGGTGAGTGACCAAGGCCATTAGCCAAGGATCAAGGGGTGCAAGACATCAGACACCCACCACCACATGGAACTCCTCCTTGCAATCACCCCCAGAAGGTATTATGCAAAGCTCCAGGGACTGAATCCACCTGCTCAAGGTCACCTGGTGAGTGTCCACAGTGTCCCATAAAGACTCGTCCCTCCCAGTCTCTGTGACACCARGCCCATGCAGAGAAACGGGAGTGACCGCGGCGGGAGGCAGCAGCCGGTAGGGAGAAGCATTGCTCACCTGACTCCACGCGCCAGCCTTCCATTTGGGGCACCGTCCTCCTCGGCACCTTCTGTGCCCATGTGGCTTAGCCAGGTGTTTACAGTAATCACTCTCTAACTGGCTTCCATCTTTTGCCATGCAGTAAACATTTCGCTGTTTGTGCCCTCGACCACAAGACACAGAGCACTGCAACATAAAGCAACGGCAAGGTTGTAGTTGTTGAATCACATGGAGGTGGGTAAAGCCTGCCTGAGAGAAGTCAAGGTCAAGAGCGCATCTAACCAGAGTCACCATGCCCTCCTTTTCCAGAGCCATTTTGGATCCTGTCTCAAGGCTCCACTGGGAACCCAGGGGGCATTGGGAACACATGTCCCACAGCAACCCTGGGGTGGCATCCTGTCTCCCTTAAGAGTGTGGATAGATTCTGATCACCGAGGCCAGAAACAGAGCTCATGTACCCAGAGTTACCTTGAGAATCTGATTAAAAGAGATCCTTCTATCAAGGCTGAGGCAGGAGGATCCCAAGTTCACAGTCAGCCTCAGCAACTTAGCGGAGCCCTAAGCAACTCAGTGAGACCCTGTCTCTAGATAAAATACAAAATAGGGCTGAGGGCATGGCTCAGTGGTTAAGACCCCTGGGTTCAATTCCTGGTACCAAAGTAAATACACAAACAAACAAGCAAACAAATAAAATAAATAAATAAAAAGTCCTACTATCAAATAGTAAGATAAGTTTTCAAAATCCCCTGTGATTCGCTGATGGGGATAAATGTGCATTTCCAAAACTGTGTCCATATTTTTATGATATTTTTTAAGGAAAACTCTTGGGCCATTTTCCAGAGAAAAAGCTCCCATGTCTCCAGTCCATTGGGAAGAGGTGCAAAAGGCCAATGGAAAACCGGAAGATAGCAGGTAAGCCTGTTCCAACTGTGTGTGTGTGTGTGTGTGTGTGTGTGTGTGTGGTGGGGGGAGGCGTCACCTTTCAACTCTGATCTGCAGGTTCCCTGGGCTGTTTTAAATGTGACCTTGTCTGACCGCATCTGAGAAGCTTGACTTTGATTTCAGATTAGGTTTCTCAGAAAGGTTCAGGAATCAAAGTGCCCACGGAGTCTGGACAAAGATCTGATCTGACAGCTTCTGTGGACCAGGCAAGAGGCTGGCCCTAATCAGCGCACCGAGACGGTCAACGTCCACCCCTCATTAGCGGTTCCAGAAGTCATTACCGCTGGATCCTAAGCTGCTGGCTCAGGTTTTCAAGACGCATTACTCCCCAATATAATGGTCCGGCTTTTTGGAGGGAAATGAATTTAAGAATGAAGAACAAAATGTGAATATGCGATAAAAATAGATTTCAACTGTCCTTTCCCTCAATTCAGTATTTCTCATTTCCCCCCCACTAACTGGGTGATTTTCTTAGTTTACATTACCAAAGTGCCCTTTTATGCCTCATAGATAAATAGCTCCATGTCAAACAAGGAGCCTCATGTTAATTCAGCCACGGTCATCAAGCAGGCTCCTGGTTAAACCATCCAAAGGCATGCTTTTATAGTAAATCAAGCCATTATAAAAGTTTCAATGGGAGCGAGTAGAGAAGTTTAAAATGTGGGTGTCAACACATTTAGGTTTTTCACTTTAGAAGGTGGAAACATGCATTTGATCTTTCATCTTCTGAATGCTATGATTTGGAGTAGTTATTCTGGAAAAATCTTAATAGTATTCAGTATGGAAGAAAAAAGTCCAATTCACTGGGTGAGGTGGTGCACGCCTGTAATCCTAGCCGCTCGGGAGGCTGAGGCAGGAGGATCCTTGAGTTCAAAGCCAGCCTCAGCAACTTAGTGAGGTCCTAAGCAACTCAGGGAGACCCTGTCTCTAAATAAAATACAAAATAGGGCTGGGGATGGGGCTCAGTGGTCAAGTGCCCCAGAGTTCAATCCCTGGTACCCCCCAAAATTTTAAAAAAATAGAAACAAATTTACTTTGGCTACTCGGTGGAAATTGGATATGAATATAGCCTGGGTGGAAAGAAGAAGAACCACTCAGAAAGCTACTGAAATTGTCCTGGCAAGAGACAATGGTGGCTTGGATTAGGCTGCACTGTCTGGGTGGGGAAGGGTGGCAAACTAAAACCGTGTGTGTTTGTGTGTGTCTCTCTCTCTCTCTCTCTTTATATATATATATTTTTTTTTTTTTTTTTTTTTTTTTTGGTGTATACATGATATTGCCCAATGAATCCACTGTGGGGTAGAGGTTGGGGGGCAAAGTCAAGAATGACTTTCAGTTTTCTGTTTTGGAGGATTAGATAGACAATAATAACATCTACCACCCTGTTAAGAGATGGGGAGTACCGGGAAGAACCGCATGGGGGGTCAAGAATATGTTCATTGGTAGGAAATGGGTTGGACCTCAGGGATATGGCATCGTAGGTGGTAGCATTTGCTTGATCAGAGTGAAGAAACATAGTTCTATTGAATCAAACGAACAGGCCTGAACTCAAAGCAAGGGTATCCTTAGGGACAGTCATCCCTCCATACAAACAGTCCGAACAAGCTGTCTCTTGCAATGAGGAGGGTGATGGAAGGTGATGGAAATACTGATTAAGTAACCTGCTATGGTCAGCAGAGGATGCAGCTTAAAAGAAGGCAACCAACCAGGATGGCAGAATCAGCAGAGGCTTAACTGTCTCAAACACGTTATGTGCCAGGAAGTGCCCTAAGACTTGATGTGTATTATCTCACTTAATCATTTCAATAACCAATGGCGCTCAATACCAGAGAGAGGTGCTATTATTGGAGACAAGTAGTGCTTTCACAATGGTGTCCCCACAAGGGCTTTGAATCCCACTTCTCACAAGCGGGTCTATTTCTGTTGGGAACAATAACCACACATTGGAAAAGTAATTTAGTCATCAACAATCTACCTGCTAGTAATTCATCTGATGTGTGTCATTGATGCTGCCACCATATATATAGCTAATGAAATGGGGTGGGATGAAGGAATTTCTACATAGCATGCCTTAAAGATTTTTTTTTGGAGGGGGAATACTGGGGATTGAACACAGGGCACTCGACCACTGAGCCCCCATCCCCAGCCCTATTTTGTATTTTATTTAGAGACAGGGTCTCACTGAGTTGCTTATGGACTCCCTAAGTTGCTGAGGCTGGCTTTGAATTCTCAGTCCTTGGCTTCCAGGGCCGTTGGGGTTACAGGCAGGCACCACCGCCTCTGGCAATATCTTTTTAATATCTAGACTAGCTGCATCCTTCCCATTCAAATGTGCATTTTTCCCCCCTTCCTTGAGGACTTGAATGGAAGCGCCTTGGATGTGGGGGGAGGGGAGAATGTAATACTTTGCATGAGTCACCACACATATTCCTTGCCTGAAATCATTAAGATCTGAAAGTGATTAGGAGCCACTCAAGGTATCTAATCTGACAGCAAACACTTCATTTAATGCTTTCTAAATGACCAATGAAGAAAAGCAGCTGTTGATGGAAATGTTCAAAAATAACAGGTTTATTCATGGGTCTGGGGTGACTTCGTAAAGGAGCTGTCATTTYGATAATCAAATAAACACAGGTTTTAGCTCTTACGTTCTCAGGGAAATTTCCATCTGATCACTTCTAGTCCTTTTCCAGGCAAAGAGGACTTTCACATCAGCGTGCGTCACTGGGCTGTAATAGCTATATTTAGTGCATCACCTACTCCGTGTTATTTATTGGCTACGTATCGGAGAGCTCTTGGTCTTGGGAACATTTAATTCCCTAAATTTTCAGCTGAAATAGCCTCTTGCTTTGCCAGTAGGATTCTAACATTTTTTTTTTTCCTCCTGGGAAACAACCCAACTTATTTAGGAGATTGATTTCCCCCACAACTTGGAGCAAGACTGGCGAACAATGTAGAATCACGAAATCAAGTATCCCAAATGCTGGGGCTTTCTGGCTTTGTTCTTTTTAATTAATTTTTGTATTTGTTTTAATTAGTTATACATGACAGTAGAATGCATTTGTGCACTTTGATAGATCACACATAGATGGGATATGATTTCTCATTTTCCGGAGTGCACATGTTGCAGAATCCTCTTGGTCACACAGCCACAATTTCAGGTATTCAGAGGGGATGCTGGGATGAGGAGTTTTGTTCGGATCTGGGGTTAACACCTTCCATAAGGACAGACTAAGAGTTTGAAGTCTTACATTTCAACTCATCTGGTGGAAATGAAATTTGAGATGTGGGCAGTGTGTTCACAACCTCTCTCCTGGGGCTTGCTCTCCCTTGAGTGGATACAGCACCAAGAGATTTGGGTCCTGTGTCTTCTTCTGGTTCCTTTTATTGGTTCCTTAACTTACACTGGGAAGCATAATTTCTTTTCTTTTTTTTTTGGTGGGGGAGATTGAATTCAAGGGCACTCAACCACTGAGCCCCAYCCCCAGCCCTGTTTTGCATTTTATTTAAAGACAGGGTCTCCCTCAGTGGCTCAGGGCCTCACTAAGTTGCTGAGGCTGGCTTTGAACTCACGATCCTCCTGCCTCAGCCTCCAGAGCTGCTGTGATGACAGATGGGCACCACCATACTCRGCGACAATTTCTTAATCATTAAGAAGCCAGTGAATAACCCAGTGTGTCTGCCTGGGTGAGAAGACCTGGAGACCTAAAGGGAACAAGATCCCCTAGGATATTGCTGAGGCCTGGGACCTCACCATGAAGATGGAGTCACACACAGAGTTGGTAAGTCCACCAAATGGACCAAGAAGGAGGAGGAGGGGAAGGTGAGGGTCAGGGATGCATAGGCTCTGGTTAGAAGGAAGCTTCTGGGTGGGGCTACAAGATGCTGGGGCTTAGAGGAAGTCCTGGTGAGGGCGGGGTGCCAACCAGGACCATCCGAGCCAGAGCATATGCCTCCTGATACCTACGGGTTAATGGATGGCCCCGGGGGGTGGGTGAGGTGGGGGGGGCGGCAGCTTTTGCTTATTTAGTCTCTAGGCATAGATGATTCACAATCAGGATGGATGAGATGGAGACTCTGTATATTGCAAATGTGTCACAGGGGATGCTGATAAAGGATATATATATATACATATTTGTACCAGGGATTGAACCCAGAGTGTATAACCACTGAGCCCCCTCCCCAGCCCTATTTTGTATTTTATTTAGAGACAGGGTCTCACTGAGTTGCTTAGGGCCTCGCTTTTTCTGAGGCTGGCTTTGAACTCAAGATCCTCCTGCCTCAGCCTCCCCAGCCKTTGGAATTACAGGCCTATGTCATCACGTTCATCAAGTATTACATATTTCCAAACCCAGAGCTGGTTAGAAATGACAGGGACTGAAAGGCCAGGAGGAACGCTGTACCCTGGATCCCTGCCAAGTTAAGTCAGGACTCTCCTGGAGTCTTTTTCTAACCAGGTGGTAGCATCACCCCAAGGCAGGTGGGTCAAATCCTGTTTGCAGACAGGAGATGGTCTTCCTGTCTTTTTCAAGGTCTTTTGCCTGTGATTTCACAGAAATTGAAAATAACATCTGAAATCACTTTCCTTTAAATAATATTCGGTTGTACCTTTTCATCACAAAAAAGCTCTTATTGAAACAAAGTCAGAGCTCACCTGAAAAGTTCACTATCGGAGATGTTATGTGTATGCTCAAGGCACGTGCCTGGCTGTGCCAATCTCAGTGACAAATGGAGATGCATGTTGCCTGCGGGTCACACCATTAGGAAAGGGGAACAGATGCCTGCCAGTTGCTACTGTTCCATGGGAGAAAGAAAATCCAAATTCAAGGATGCAGACTTAGGGACCAAAGTCTCACACACAGCTCCACGGAAGGCCCAGGAAACCACGTGGGCTCGCCAAGTAGGAAAGACAGAAGGGGCCACTCACGCACGTGTCCTTCCTGCTTCCTAGGCTGTGGCCAGTCAGCAAATATGGATGGAAATCCATGATCACGTGAGAGCTATAGCCACGGACACATCATCGACCCAATGTCCTGTTTCCATAAAGAAAGATCCACCTAGAATCAGACTCACAGCGCTAATCCGGCACAAGCTACTTAGATTCAAAAGAGCTACGCTAAGCTATTCTTTTCCTTGGAGCAAAATGACCTTTTATTGAGTTTTAACTGTAAGCAGACACTGTGCTAAAATCCACTGGCTTCTCTCAATTCCAGAAGTGTCCTTATGACCCAGGTGTCATCAGGATTCCTTCTTATAGATAAGAAGACTGAGAATCAAGGAGTGATATCACTTGCCCTGGGTCACCAAGCCAGGTCGCATGCAGCAGAGTCAGGCTTTCTAGATAGCACAGAGGTATCTAGAACCATCTGGTCATCCTAAAGCCATCCTGGAGAAGTGACCTGATTAAATCAGCAGGTTGCTCAAGTCTACCTACTCAGGACAAGGTGGCAACAGGACCCCGGGCTATTTCAGAGTTGTCTGCTTCCTCTACTTCCCAGGAGGAATGAGGATAAGCCAGATTTGATGGTTCACACCTGTCATCCCAGCGGCTTGGGGGGCTGAGACAGGGGGTTCAAAGCCAGCCCCAGCCACTTAGTGAGAACCCAGCTTGTAAAAGTCTATTCTAAAAAAAAAAAAAAATTGCCAACAGAGTCTAAGCTGAGGACTCTTTTTCTCGGGAGGTGATTGGGCCATAGCACATGGTAGGCAAGCATGTACCCACCAAGCTATAGCCACCGCTCACTGAGGAGTTTGCTAGAGACTTCAACAGGCACAGCAGGAATAAGTCACACAAAATCCCATCCCTATGAATGAGTGAAGTGCTGTCTTTTCTAAAGGGCACAGAGAGGTCCACGGGACAGACACACATGATGAAGATTCTGTTTCTGGCGCCCCTTTTCCTCCTATAGATGATACCAATACGGGGACCTCTCACCAACAAACCGAAAACTAAGGTACCTCATCCGGATGCCATGGGTCTTTTCTATTCTATATTTTTCTTTCTCAACTCGAGCCGTTTCTCTTGAGTATTTTGTGATATCAGTTCTTCAAAGGACCAGAGACACAGACTTGGCATCAGAGATAAGAATCAGCAACTGTGATCACGTCACCCTATGCATTCTCTGTAGTCACTCGAATCCTTGCTGTGCCCAGGTGCTGTGGGAGTGGTCACAGTCCTGGATCAAAAAAGCCTAGCTCCAGCCAGGTGCGGTGGCACACGCCTGTGATTCCTGAGGCTGGGGAGGCTGAGGCAGGAGGATCCTGAATTCAGAGTTAGCCTCAGCAACTTAGCAAGGCCCTAAGCAACTCAGTGAGACCCTGTCTCTAAATAAAATATGGCTCAGTGGTAGAGCGCTTGCCTGGCATGAACGAGAATCTGAGTTCCATCCCAACACCAAAAAGAAAAAAAAAAAAAAGGCTTTTATAGGACTTCTCACAAAACAAGAATGGCTTTGAACAGAGCCACCAAGAACCAAAAATATTGAGGAGGAACAGGGAGCAAGCTTCACCAGGAAACAAGGTCTCTGACCTTCGGGCATGAAGCCAGGGTTGACAGTCCTGCTGATGGCTGTTTGTGTCTGGGACCACCCTGGCACCTATGACCATGGAAAGAAGCTGAGAAGCATGAGATTGGCAGGGAGTACCCTAGAAAAAAAGGGGATGTGGGAGTTACTGTCATTCCAGCCAGATGGGACATTTGGCCATCCCCACTGGTCCCCCAAAGTCCCAGTCTTTGCAATGCTACAAAGATCTAAGAAAAGGAACTAAGACTCCCATGTCAACTTTTGGAGCACATGTGAAGGCTGATGTCAATGTAAGAGCCAAGTAGGTGGCCCTGCCTAACAGGGTTCATGGCAGGACCAGGAATATAAGGGGACACAGCAAGAGGCGTCCCTGCCCTCCACTTCCCATTTTTACCCCCCCCCCCACCCATAGAGAATTAGGGGACACAGGGCTCTCCAGCTATCCCTTCACAATGTAACAACTTCATAGTAGAAGGGGAGATATATTTTAGCATTAGATACAGCAGTACTTGAAATTAGTTACATAAGCTGTGGAAACCCAATCAGGGTTCCTTTTGCTCTGCAAGGCTGTGATTATTACAGTTTTTCTCCCTATCAAGAAAGAATCAGAGCTGGGAGTGGTGGTGCACACCTGGAATCCCAGAGGCTGAGGAGGCTGAGGCAGGAGGATCGCGAGTTCAAAGCCAGCCTCAGCAACTTAGTGAGGCCCTAAGCAACTCAGTGAGTTCCGGTCTCTAAATAAAAAGAAAAAAAGGTGGGGGGTGAGGATGGGGATCAGTGGTTAAGCACTACTGGATTGACTCCCCAGTACTAAAAAGGAGGAAGAGGAGGAGGAGGAGGAGGAGGAGGAGGAGGAGGAGGAGGAGGAGGAGGAGGAGGAGGAGAAAGAAACAGGGAGGGGATGGGAACAGGAAAGACAGTGGAATGAATGGGACAGAACTTTCCCATGTTCATAGATGAACACACGACCAGGGACACTCCACATCATGTCCAACCACAAGAATGGTTAGTTCTACTCCATGTAGGTATAATATGTCAAGATGCACCCAACTGTCATGTATAACTAAAAGGAAAAAAATAAAACAATTTAAAAAGAGAGAAACAAAAGCTAAGAAAATCTGCAAACTTGGTAGCTGATGAGTTCTACTGGGCATATCCAGGGCACCCCTGGGAACATGATGCCTGCCCCATCACCAGGCCCTGCCACCCCCCAAGTGTTCTTGGAGTCCCCTTTCTTAAGCACTTGACCTATTTCTGCAGGACTGACTTATGTTTTCCCTTTCAACCTTATAGCTCGTGATTCTTTGCAACCTGGCATTAGAATAACGATGTTGGCGTTTTTCAGGGAAGACGCATCAGGAGCCCTCCCTCCCAGCCGGCTGCCGGAGTGTCTATGAAAACCATCAGGAGGACAGGGAGGGGCAGGGGCCAGGATCCTGACTCTCAGCTGTTCCAAAGGTGAGTGAGGAAATGTCTGAATACATCCTTGATGGGGAAGCTATGGCGGTGGGGGACAGCGACCAAAGGTTTTGGTACTTTTAGGTGATCAAAGATCTGGGCTGAAGGGCCCAAGGCCACCTGGAGATGTCCGTCTGCCTCGGTGACAGTGCTGGAGCAATCTCACTTGATGTTCTATGCTATTGCCCAAGGTGGTCAGGGACAGATCTGGGGAACTTAGGACACCATCAGGAATGTTTCTGCCCCAAAACAGTCCCTGCGGCCTGTCTGTGCTACGTGCAGTTGGTCTCATGTTCCCAACACACATCCACCCCCTAAACCTCAACCGTTTCTCAATAAGCTACGTATGTGTCCATCAAACATTTTAAAGACACCAGGACAGCCAGGCAGGGTTGCATAGACCTGTAAATCCCAGCCACTTGGGAGGCTAAGGCAGGAGGATTACAATTTTGAGGCTAGTCTAGGAAATCTAGAGAGACTTTTTCTCAAAAATAAAGAATCAAAAAAAAAGGACGGGGTGGCTCTTACCTGTAATCCCAGCTGTTTTGGGGAGGCTGAGGCAGGAGGATTTCGAGTTCAAAMCTAGCCTCAGCAATTTAGTGAGACTCTGTCTCAAAATAAATAATAATAATAATAATAATAATAATAATGGGCTGGGATGTGGTTCAGTGGTAAATCGCCTCTGGGTTCAATCCCCAGTACCTAAATAAGTAAATTTAATTTAATTTGATTTAATAAAAGCCACCAGGACAGAGTGCATTCCACTGTCTGAATTCTTGCCTTTCCTCGTAAGCTTAGTGCTAGGGTAGCATCTTTACAGACTAGCTGCCCAGTACACCATGGAGTCTGCCCTTTGTATCTCTTTGGAGTCGGGGTTCCTGGATCCAACCGACCTCATATTAAAAACATTCAAGAGCCAGGTTCAGTGGAGCACACCTGTAATCCCAGTGGCTTGGGAGGCTGAGGCAGGAGGATCGCAGGTCCAAAGCCAACGTCTGCAAAAGCGAGGCGCTAAGCAACTCAGTGAGACCCTGTCTCTAAATAAAATTCAAAATAGGGCTGGGGATGGGGCTCAGTGGTTAAGTGCCCTCCCCGAAAAAAAAAAAAAAAAAACCATTCAGGAAAAACCAAAAACTGCATCTGTACCTAACATGCAAGATTTTTTTCTAGTTATTATTTCCTAAAAGATAGGATATAACAATCCTTTATGAAGCATTTATATTTTATTAGGCATTATAAGTAGTCTGGAGAGGATATAAAATGTTAGAAGGAGATGCATAAACCATATGCACGTACTACACCATTCTCCGTAAAGGACTGGGCATTTGCATCTGCAGATTTGGGTATCTGTCTGGGATCCTGGAACCAATTCCCTATGGTTACCAAGAGGGCAGTGTGCTGAAAAGTTTGCAACCTTTTATGGGGGGGTGGGGCGTCAACTTATATAATCACTTGGCTTTGGTTGGACATTAATGCCACCTAGAAACTGAGATGAGAATAAATATCTGAGTGGAATCCAGGGAAATGTATCTCAGCCGGAGGGGAAATTAGCTGTTCGCCCTCCAATCTTTCATTGCTGGGCTACTAGTTCAGAGAGCACACAGTCACTGCTAATATGCATGATTCAAAATCTTCCTGTCTTTTCTTGTTCCCTCCTCCTGCCCATCTCTGGGCAAAGAAATGACTCACAAGTGCCACCATGAAAGGATGAATACAACACCGATATTGGCTAACATGCAAATGGCAGACAACAGCAAGGCTGGGCATTAGGAATGACTACAATTATATTTGATGGTTTTCTGAAAATTGAAGTTATTTCTGTACTACTCTAAGATTTATTCAGATGGGAGTCCAGGGACTGAGGTAGAGAAATGTGATGGTTATGAACACGGTTTTGGGACTAGTCGGAACTGGTTTGTCTACTGCCACATATTCCTCAGTTTTCTTATGCAAGATGCTTAGCTGGGTGCAGTGGTGCAATCTGTAATCCCACCAGCTAGGGAGGCTGAGACAGGAGGATCGAGAGTTCAAAGCCAGCCTCAGCAACTCAGTGAGGCCCTAAGCCATTCAGCATCTTCTTTCAAATGTCTCCTTCTTAACAGAGACTTCCCCAAACTTTCTTAAAATAATAGTTCCTATCCTCTCTCTTCCCTACTATGCCCTATCCATTTTTCCTTCCGCCTATAGCACTTATTTCCTCCTTTCATGAAATATATTTAATTCCTCTTGTTTTGTTATTTACAGGTCTCCCCAAACTCTAGAATATAGGCTTGATGAATTCAAGTTTTTCTGTGTGTGTGTGTTTGTTCAACTGCCTAGTGTATGGAAACGCTCCACTAATGTAATTCACAAACTAATGCATCCAATAATAGTCCAGGACCTAAAGCCATTTATCCCACCATAATACATAAGGATGAAGTAAAGATTCTGCCCAAAAAAAGACCAGGTAAGTAACTATGGTACTCTCTAATCTCCTGTGTCCGTTCAATCCCAAACTGAGAGAGTACTCTTATGGCTTAAAATTTAATTCATAACTGCACAGCTGCGTAGATCACAGGTGACATTTAGGACGAAGGTCATCTGAGAATGTAACATCAGACAAACAAATAAGTCACAGAAGCTGGGAACTCGAAATACTACGCCACCTTGGAAAAGCCAGGAGAGCACTGAAAATTCAGCTCAGAGCCACTGATCTTGCCAGGACCCCGATGCCACACAGTGTCTTCCAGACGGAAAAACCACAACAGACAGACTGAAGATAGACTGCAAAGAAATGACATACATAAGACAGAGTTCTAGCTAGGCTCAGTGGTGCATGCCTGTAATTCCAGTGGCTCTGGAGGCTGAGGCAGGAGGATCGCAAATTCAAAGCCAGCCTCAGCAAGAGCAAGGCCCTAAGCAACTCAGGGAGACCCTGTCTCTAAATAAAATACAAAACAGGGCTGGGGATGGGGCTCAGTGGTTAAGTGCCCCTGAGTTCAATCCCCACTTGGGGGTGGGGGGAAGCAATGTCCTCCTACTTCATGCCATTCTTTACAAAGCCGATCACTGGTGCCAAAATGCAGACTGTCTGCCCATCACTGAGGCACCTAGGCACACCCTGACTTCTTCCTCCCTCCCAGTTGAGTGGTGCTGTTAGATGTTCAGATTCATAGCCTGGAAGGACGATTGCACACTGACTTCTGGCTCATCCTTGAAAACCTCATTTGGATCTGGGAGCCCTGCATGCCTGCCTGGGATCTCATGCAACGTTTCGCAGGAATGTGAACTCTCCAGAGAGCAGAACTTCTAATGGCTCTGCTGTCATTACACACAGAGTTGGCAACTGTCCCTTTAACTCTGACTTCTGAATGGGACACCTGCCTGTCCTCACCAGAGGCTCCAATTTTGGCCCAAGTTCAGTTGAGATAATCCTTTGAGATCAGGGAGGGGGCAGGGGAGGGTTAGGCTGTGCCTGGTAAGCTGGCCCGTGACCTCCCTGGTCACAACCTCTAGATCCCAGGAGCACTTCCTGCACAATATGTCATCACCAAAACTGTCCCCAGGCATTGCTGTAGGCCTACAGGAGGGTCAAAATCACCACTCATTGAGAACCACTGAACTATCCCTAAGGTTCTCAGGAGTGACTTAGTTTTAAGTCATAGCTTCTTTATGTTGGGAGTTTCAAAAAGCCTTCTGCATATCAATGCAGCCAGGTCAGGGGCTCAGGGCTAACAGGTGCGGAGGCTACCAGGGGGGTTATGGAGAAGGTGTGTGTCCACTGGGAAATCAGTTCCCACACACAACAATAAAGATCCCGGTCACAATGAACAAACGTGTTCTGTGGGACAGCACTTCCTCCTTGACGTCATGTCTGTGACCTCCACCCAGGGGGTTCCAGATATGTCAGGTCTGACTCAAACACAGCCAAGGACAAGGGTGAGTCCGGCAAATAGCAATGCAGGGATTGAGGCTATTTATTTATTTATTTATTGTTAGGCTCCGGGAAAACTAACAGCATACATTTTTGGAAAAAGTCTTTAGTTTTCAAAGGAATGTGGAGTTTGGGTAGCAATGGGTTGAAAAAAAAATATGAGGGGGAGCTCTTCATATGATCTGATATTTACTGGAATTTAATAGTAAGACTCGCAGTGAAATCCAGGAATTGGCATTATTCCCAGAGACATTTTATTTCAGTTGCCTGGGTGGGAGGAGAGACAGGGAGGAAAGGAGAAGACCAGGAAAGAGAAAATCATGGGGAAAAAAAAAAATCAATGAAAACGTAGGAAGAGATCTGTTTCTCTTGTGCTGTGACTGCAATAGCTACTCCTCTTACTATGGTTACAGTGCAAATCTGGGATTAAAAACAGCTTCCTAAAATACGTCAGAATTATTTTTGGGGGCGTACTAGGAATTGAACCCAGAGGTGCTCTACCATGGAGCCACATCCCCAGCCCTTTTTATTTTTTGAGACAGGCTGCTTAGGCCTTTGCTAAATTGTTGAGGCTGGCCTCGACCTCATGATCCTCCTGCCTCAGCTTCCCAAGCTGCTGGGATTACAGGCCTGCACCACCGTACCTGGCCCAAGTCAGAAATTTACAAATACTATAATAAAACCAGCTCTGTTCTTCACTCCCTTGGGAAAGAAAACACATACTCTGAATATATATATAATTTTAACAAATAACTTATTTTGAAAAATTTCCAACTTAAAGAATATTGCAAAAACATCACAAAGGTCTCCTTTATCCCTTCCGAATGGGATACCAGAAGCTCCAATTTTACCAACCTTGCTCCTTCTGCCTCTATATTCATTATTTAGTCTTTTTCTGAAYAACTGGAGAGCAAATCATAAACCTAATATCCTATCATCTCCAAAACTTTGGTCTCCAAAACTTTGCAACATGAATATCACATAACTAAGTCAAGGTATAGAAGGATCCTATGTCTTTTTTTTTTTTTTAATGATTTCCTCCATTAAATTTTTTATTTTTTTTTTATTTCTAGATTAGTGATA